GCGAATTGATCAATAGCACAATAATCTATTTAATAATAAATTAAATATTTAATAGAAAACTTCTATACCTATAGTCAATTCGTCTCCTAAAATTATTTTAAAAAATTAGAAAAAAAAAATTTTTTTTTGAAAGTCAAATAATTTAACAAAAAAAATTCAGGACCCTAAAGAAGAAACCCGGAAAAAATAATTTTTGGGAATAACTTTTATCTTGGTTATGGATTGATATGGGTCGGGTGTATATGAGAAAAATCGGGTGGGGTTTTTCAAAATATTCTTTGGATCTAGTTTTGGGTCGAAAAAAAGTCTCCGCGGTTCCGAGTAACCCTACTCATCCCCTCACGTATCTCTATGGATGTTTAAGACATCCTAACTGGAAATGCTACTTACCTAGGACCAATCCAAACCGAAAAAACTCAAAAAGTGACTTGGTTCCAAGACTAATAAATTAAGAGTTACTCAAGTTTTTATCGGAGTTTCCCCATTTTTAGAAAATTTAAAAAAAACCTCGTTTAATATCCCTTTTTGCAAAAAAAGCAATTCTATGATAACGTTCATCCAACCTATCAGCAAATACAGGATACACAGCCAAATTTGGACCACAAGAATGATTTACAAATCTAGCCTCCTTTGAGGAAAAAATTAAATTTAAAAAAATTTTTAAAAAATAAACACATTTCCATGAATTGCAGCATCAACAATAAAAAAATATTTTGGACCACATCCATCCATTTGGAATTGATATGTACTTGGCTTTTTGGATTCGAGAGATTCCTCATCTGTTAAAACCTGTTTAAAAATAAATTTTTAATTTTCTAGTTAAAGAAATTCTCTAGAAAATTTTTTGAAGGCCTATCAAAAATTACTAAACTATTAGGAGCAGAAAATTAGGGAGGGGATTGGGCAAATAAATTAAATTTTTTGGCCTATAGCCTTCGAAATTTCTCAAAATTTTCGTCTGCGGCACTAAAAATCAAAATTTTATTTCTCCCCTTGGCCCCCGAAAAAAAATCCTGTTTACGTGCCTGATTGGGAATTAAAAGATTGTTTTTTTATCAATTGGAATTTGAAACTAGGTGGTGTTCAAAGCCGGTTAACAGCCCGGTTAATTACTCACTGTGGCGGGTCTTTTTTTCTTTTCCTGTCTCTCTTCTCCTTTTGCCCCGCCACAGGGAAAAATTAACCGGGCGGTTAATCGGTTATGAACAACCCCATTTGAAATCCCGGAAAAAAATTTATTCCGAAACAAACCTAGAAACCTATTTTGGTTTTGAAATTAAAAAAATTGTTTTACCCAGCCACATTAAAAACATTGAAAATACATCGATACTCTAGTGTACCCCAAAAAATATTTTTTAAATTGAATTTTTCAAGTAAAAAATTTTAATTAAAAAATCAAAAAAAAATAAAAAAAAACCTCTCCAACATATTCACAAACAAAAGACTTCTTTTTTATATCAACACAAGTTCTCACTGCCCAACCTCTATCTAATGTTCGGAAGATGACTATAGGTATTTGACGTCCTCTTTGAACAACTCGTGTTGGACAAGTAAGGCCACATTTACTTGAGAAAAAAATTTTTATAAAAAAAGAGAAGATAAAGGAAAATTAAAACAGAAAAAAAGGGGACAGTCCTCCACTATTATTTCAAAAATCGTCAGAAAACAAATGAGAAATTTTACGGAATGGGAATTTTGCGGACTGAAAATTTTGCGGATAAAATTTTGCGGACCGGAGATTTTGTTGATATTTTCGGACTGGAATTTGCGGATAAAATTTTGCGGATTTGAATTTGCGGACTTTTCGATTTTTAAGAAAAAGAATTTTTAAAGTGTTTTTAAAAATAGGTAATTTCACGAACCACGCATCGGTACATTCAACAATCCAATATTTATTCATAGATGTTTGTTTAGAATCAATTCTTCCATCTTCCAAATAACAATAATTTTGATTGAAATTCTGCAAAAATTTTCTTTAATTTTAAAAATAAATAAAATAAACATAAGGACAGCAATCATGTTTAGCTCCACATTTTTCTTCTTCATTTCCACACTTGCAGTGTTCAATATTTGGGATTCCTTGCAATGCTTTTTCTACCTCCTTTGAAAAACGATTCTCCAAAATAAACTGAAAAAATATTTTAATTCAATTGAAGAAAATAGAGAAAATAAAAAAAGATCCTTGAATAGGTTGAAGTAAATATCAGGGCTGCACGCAATTGAAAAAATTCCGCAAACGCAATCCGCAATTGCAAAAACCCCCGCAATTTACGCAATCAATCTGCACGCAATCCACGTGCAGCCCTGTTAAAGATATCTCAGGAATGAGGAAATTCAAAAATAACTGTAAGTTTTTAGACAAGTTTTCAACCATGTTGTAGAGTGTCTTGGTTATTTTCAGCTTGATATCTTATTTGGCTTTTGGGAGTTTGGCATTTCAATGCTTTGCGATTAAGTACAAAACGACCCTAACGACAGTAGAAGAAAAAAATTTCTGTATCGCTTTGTTCGCCAATTCTGTAATGTCTTATGGAAAATAGACCCCCAAATAATCTCTTTCAGAAAAATTCCTACCCCCCTACCTCCTTAAACTTTAATTTTAAAAAACCTCGAATTTCTTTGGTTTAGCCTCTTCATCAACCCAATTTTCAACATAAATCGGAGCTTGTCTTGGAGTTCTACTTTTAATTAAATTATTCATTTCGTCTTCCCATTGATGACAATTAACGAGTGAACCAAGCATATAACTATTATAGAAATAAAGTCTTTCATTCGCCGGGATTCTACGACAAATTGCTTGTCGCCAGACTTCACGATCTTGGAATTCTGTGATCTAAAAATAAATTCTTTAACCTTTTTTCAAGACCATTTTTGGAACATTTTTGAAATCCAAAAATTGTATTTTTTTGTTCTTAGTCTTGCGGACTATTTTTGCGGACAAAAATTTTTTGTTCAAAAAATTTTGAAAAAATCATACCAAATCCTCAATATTATTTTCTTTACAATGAATTTCCCAAGTTGAATGTTTATAATCCCATCCTTTCCATTTTAAAAAATACTGGACTGATCTTGTTTTGGGAAGGTCCACGACCACACGACGAGCAAGAACTTTTTCAACTATCCATTGATTGTCCTAAAAAAATTTTTTGAAAAATTTTTTTTAGAGCAAGAGAAGATAATAAATGGGGATTAGACTAGAAAATTTCTTTCGGAAAATTCCAAAAAAATTTTTTAATGAACATTTACGGTTAACAAGTACTTCAAAACGCTCATTATTTATAATAAATTTAAGAAAACCTCAGTTTGAGCATTAAAAAAATCGCAGTCAACGCTTTCATCATCAGAAGAAATTAAACAAGACCGAGCACGTTTTCTTGAAGAAGACTTGCCAACACAATCAGAATATTCATCGCCTAAAATTAAAAAAAACCCTGTTAATCCAGTTATAAAAAATGAAGTCAAACCTCCAAAAGTACGCATCATATGAGTTTCTCCATCAATCGAAAATGCAACCTCGTCAGCTTCAAGTTGTTGAACAGTCAATTGGTTTGGCTCTCTCCAAGAAGGTAAGCAGACAGCAGCATTGGAATAAAAGCCCTGAAAAATAAAATTAATTTTTGCGAAGTTTTGCGGACAAACTGAAACTATTGAACTTTAAGCCAAAAAATGTTGTGTGGGTATTGATTTACAATTTGGACATCAAAGTAAAAAATGATTTGTGATAGGAGTTAAAAATTTATTTGGACATTTGATCCCAAGGAACCCAAAAAATTTTTTATTAAAAAAAGAAAATAAAGTTTTTGCGGACAAACAGAAACTATTGAAACTTTAAGCAAAAAATTTTGAGTAGAAGGGTATCGATTTACTTTTTAGACATCAAAATAAAAAATAATTTGTGATAGGAGTTAAAAGAAATTTTCTGGACATTTCATCCCAAGGACCAAAAAATTTTTTATGAAACCCCCCCCCCCCTAAAAATTTTTTGGACAGTTCATCCCAAGGACCCCTAAAAATTGTTTTATTAAAAATCCCCCACTCCCCTCTTCAAAATTTTTGGACATTTGATCCCAAGGACCCCAAAAATTTTTTTATTGGAAAATCCCCCCCCCTCCCCTTCAAAAAAACAAACAAACGTGTGCTTCCATAACTGAACGTTCTTTCCTTTCCAAAGTTAATCCTTTAGCCAATTCATTAATCACTTCCAATTCAGAATCCTCATCATCCTCCTTACTAATATCACAATAACTAATTGTATTTAATCTCGAAACTAATCTTCCAATTTTTTGTTGTTTATAAATTTTTGGGGAAGAATTTTCTTTATTTTCAATTTCTGAAGAAAGTTGTTTTGATGCAGATTTGGAAAAACGGACAATTCTTCTTTCATTTTCTTTGTTTGGTTTATCCGGGTTAGTTGATAATTTTGTCAAAAAAGTGAATAAATTCATTTGCTTCATTTTCACAAAAATATAAAATCCTGAAAGAACTTCCAAAATAAATTTTAATAAAGAATAAAGCACCAATAAAACAACAAAAAAACAATAGGAAGCAAAGAAAAATCATCAAACAACAATAAAAAATTCAAACAACAAAATACCGCCTAAATAAAAAGAAAAAAGGACGTTTTGTCGCGAAGAGTTCAGTGTCTGAAGGTGGTACATCTGGGCGCGCGGCCATAACGGCGCAAAGCCATAACTTGCTGAAAAATTTCCGAATCTTACCAAATTTAGTATCAAACGATTTCTCTCGTCGAGATAGAGAGATTGGTACCAAAATTGTTAAGGTACTGAAATTTTCCAGTTAGTTATGGCTTTGCGCCGTTATGGCCGCGCGCCGTTTTGGGCTGTACCCTTGAATTATTTTTTAAGCAAACCTACATATTTTTAATAAAATTTTTCTAATATTATTTTTATTTTTTGTTAGATCTAATTGTTTTTATTTTATAGAAGTATTTTTAATTAAAAATTGCTCAATCCTTATTTTGAGTGATCTGGCCCTTCATAATGGATCAAAATATTTTGGTGGATTTACAGAGGTTTGCGAGAGGTTATCTACTTCGGAAACGTTTTCAGGATTCTGTTAGGTTTGTTTTTTATTTTTTTCAATCAAACCAGAATTTTGCGGATAGTTTTAGCGGATATTTTCGCTTTTTTGAATATGTCCGCAATAGATTTTGCTGACGCTTGAATATGTCCGCAAAAAATTTGCGGACATTTAAATTTGTCCGCAAAAAATTTGCGGACTTTTAACTCTGTCCGCAAAAATTTTGCGGACATTAAAATTTGTCCGCAAAAAATTTGCGGACTTTTAACTCTGTCCGCAAAAATTTTGCGGACATTAAAATTTGTCCGCAAAAAATTTGCGGGCATTTCTTTTCTTAAAAATGTCCGCAAATGTTGTCCGCAAAATTATTTTTCAATTAAAAACTAAAGTTTTCTTTAAGAAATGAATTGATTTGTATTCACAACAAAATTAGTAACAACAATTTGCCCGACAATATAAAATTACTCAAAATTGGTTGTATATTAAACAACAAAAATTATTTTTGTGTTGATTCTAACGAAATTTATTTATTATGCGATATTTTATTTTCTTCAATGAAGTCTTCTTCAATTCAAAAATCGTTTGCTTCTTTATATCTTTCAAGTAAACATATGGATTCTGCATGTAAAGCAACTTTTAGACTTTTTCAAAAATTAATTGATGAGTTTGGAAAATGCGAGGTTTAAGAGATTTTATTTTTATATTTCTTAAATCAATCCTACTAGGGTTGTTGGTTACCGAACCGAAGAACCGATTATTTTTCGGTTTGGATATCGGTTCGGTTCCGGATATCCGAAGATTTTCTAAGAACTGACAACCATACTCTAGACAACTATTTAGTTATTATTGTTATATTTGTTTAATTGCTAATTGTAAGGCACAAGTATTCTTCTTCGAGAAAGGTCTTAAGAAATTAAGTTGCTTGCTAGTTTTCCAACATAAATTGTCTGCAATTTGAGTCGGCAACTTTTTTGCGTATACAGAAATTTTGTTTAGCGTTCTTATCCACAAATTTAAATTAAATTGGGGTACAAAAAACAAAATTTGAATCTGCAAAAATTTTGCAGACACAAGTTGCGGACAATTCCTTTTATTCTTAATAAAATTTTTAATTTTTTAAAGGTCTCAAAGATTTCCGATTCTCGCAGAATAGCTTCTCAAGCACCTCTAATTTATATTTTTTGTAATTGTTCAGAAGAAACTTGGCCAATTTTAAAAGGAAAAGAATCAATTATTCCAATAATAAATTCTCTCTGTGCAAAACTACTTTACCCTTTAGCAACAATAAATTCTTTAAATGTTTTTAAGGTTTGGATTTTTTAAAAATTTTCAAAGAAAAAAATTTTTTTCAGAAAATTATTTTTGATGCCCTAAAAGGAGATAGAATGTTGCTTGATGAAAAAACAATTGACCAATTATTTTTTATCTCTATCAGGTTTTTTGAACATTTAATTACGGGGGGTTTGAATCATCCTTAACGGTGTCCAACTTTGAGGGCCATAACTCGTTCAGAGTCATTTTGCAAGAAAATGGATATCACTTTACAATAGAAAGTCGGAGGTTCTCTATCGAATCATACTGAAAATTTATATCGTTTTCATGGTAACAGTAAACGATGTTTCCTTGTTTAGAACTAGTGACAAAATATTTTTTTCTTCTATCAAGATTTTTATTTGTTCCCATTTTCCTTCCTTTTCCTACTTTCTAAAATTCCCAGGCTCAAATTTTTATCGTTATTTTTATTAATTTTGCCATAAATATATTTTTTTCCCTTCTAAAAATGTTTGGGCACCAAAAGGATTCGAACCCCTGACTTATCCCAGCTGAATCGAAAATTATCCCACTACACCAAACTATCCAAATTTTTTAATTTTTTATTAATTTTTTTTTCAGATTTATTCAAATTTTTTCGCTCGAAAACGACTTAAATTTACAAATATTTATTGAATTTATAAGTTTTCCTGCAATTGCTCAAATGCTTTCTAAACAGGTTTGAGATATTTTCTTTTAATTTTTAATTAATCCTTTTTAGACCCTAAATTTAATTGAAAAAACAAATATTTTTGAAAATTCAATTAAATGGATTGCCTCAAAAGAAAATGAAAAAATATCAAAATTATCTACAAATGAGGCTCTAAATTTAATTGGAAATATAATTTTCTTTGGGAATTTGTTTAAAAATTGTTTATCCGTTTGTTTGTTGGATTGGGCCTATTTAGTTAATAGAATATTGAAATATTGTGCTTTTATTGTTACTGATAATAAGAAAAGTAATTGTTGGCATCACCCTTTGCTTGGATGGACTTCTGAAAGAATTGACGGAGGGTTAGTTTTTTGAAAATTATTTTTGCAAAAATTTTGTCCGCAGAAAATTGCGGACAAAAATTTTTGTCCGCAAATGTTGTCCGCAAAAACAAATTTTTATTTTTTAGTCAGTCAACGTTTACTCAATTTTTTATTTTGTCAGGGGAAAATTTTTGCTTGGCAAAATAAAAAATTTTTGTCTATAGAAAATTGCAGTCCGCAAATATTTGCGGACAAAATTTTTGTCCGCAAAAATTCATTTGCGGACAAGAAATCAAAATTTTATTTTCCAGTTATCAATGGGCATTTACCCGAATGATTAAACAAATATCTTTACTTTGGAGTAAAGAAATGGTTGAATTTCTTGCTATAAAATTTTTTACAAATTTTGATGAAGCAAAATTGGCACAGCAACAAAATATGAATAAAAGAAAAGATTCAAAATCTTTTGCAGAAATTCCAACATTTCCAACAATAGACAACAAATTAACTTCAGATTTTTTGCAAAGTTTGGTTTATTTTTTAAATATTTTTTCTATATTTTATTTAAAAATTTTAAAGAATTTATTGGCAAATTTGGTTCAAAAAAACACCAAGAAACTGTTGGAAGTATACAAGCTGTTGCTCTACCTCCTTTTACTTCACCAATAATTTTTTGTCAACTTTATCAAAATGCTTTGTTGGCTTTTTATAATTCGAGGATTGAAATACTTTCAAGTTTGGAAATTTTTTTTTAATTTTTTGTCCGCAAAAATTTTGCGGACAAAAAATTTTTTGAAAAATTTTTTTCTGAAAAAATTTTTCCAATTCCAGGTTTATCTCGCAACGATTCTCTCGTTTTGGCCAAATTATGGCATTATATAAACCCCGATGTTAGCAATACAGAAGGCTTTAAAACATGTTTGGGCTATTTGGTAACTGACCCAAGTGTAACCTCTCCCCATTTTGCTCCACTTCAACTTTTTGGGGAAATTGCTTATTCTTTAATTTCGTTTGTTTTTTTTATTTTATTTTTTAAAAATTATTTTTTTAGAATTTTAGACGAAAAGGAAATGTATGAAACTGAGAAGCCTTTTACTAGAATACAACTTTGCCAAATTGCAACTTTTGCCAATCGGTTTTGTTTTCATGCAATTTGGGATTCGCTTATAGGTTTTTAAATTTTTTTAAAGGTTTTTTACTTTTAGACCATGATATTAGGTTTCGTGTTTGAAATGTTAGTTTCTAATTTATTTTTCAAATGTCCGCAAGTTTCGTCCGCAAATTTTTAAAATTTTTTAAAATGTCGCATTAAATGCCAAAACGTGAAAACGCCCAAATTTCAAAATTCCCAAAACCCAAAATCTCCGTATTTTTTCGTTTATTTTTAGACTTTGAAAATCGAAGGTCTTCATTACTTTTCACCAGTATGTATAATCTACTAAATATCCTTTTTAATCGTGATTGTAGAAGACAATTTACTCCATCAAAAAATTTTTGGACAATTCCAGAAATTAGTTTCAAAGCATTTGTGACTGAATTTGAAAGGAATGAAATTTCTAAAAGAGCACAACTTTTAATGGAAAAAATGCCTCATATAATTCCGGTTAATTTTTTTTAATTTTTCAAATGTCCGCAAGTTTTGTCCGCAAATTTTTTATTTAATTAAAAAATCTTTAAAAATCTTATTTAAAAATTTTTATTTTTTTTTTCAGCTTCGCGACAGAATTTTTCTTTTTCGAAAATTTATACAACAAGATAAAGAATCATTTTCTAACTCTAATACAATTATTACTGTTGAAAGGTCGAGGATAATTGAAGATGGTTCGGAAAAAGATTTTTTTTGAAAAATTTTTTAATTTTTTTTTGGTAAAAAAAATGGCTCTTGTCCAGTTTATGCGTCCCATGAAAGTATATGCGTCCCATCAACAAAAAATTGGATATTTCTTGGTGTTGCAAAGTAGGGGTATGGTTCCAAAGCATTTCTTCATGTTCGGGATTTACGTCCACTGGGTCTGGGACCGTTCCTTACCCTATCCCTCAAAATTTCTGAAAGTTATAGCCAATTTTTAAAAATTTCAGAAAAACGATTTTAACTTTCAGAAATTTCGAGGGATAGGGTAAGGAACGGTCCCAGACCCAGTGGACGTAGATCCCGAACATGAAGAAATGCTTTGGAACCATACCCCTACTTTGCAACACCAAGAAATATCCAATTTTTTGTTGATGGGACGCATATACTTTCATGGGACGCATAAACTGGACAAGAGCCAAAAAATTACTTTTTTTTTAAATTTAAAAAATTTTGGTAAAAATTTTTTTGGAAAAAAAAATTTTGAAAAAATTTTCTCAACAATGAAAAATAAATTTTCTAAAGGTTATCGCCAACTCGGAGGAATTAACCCACACATATTAAAAGGAATAATTCGTGTTAAATTTATTAATCAACAAGGATTAGATGAGGCAGGAATTGATCAGGATGGGGTTTTTTTTAATTTTATTTAAAATAATTTTCTAAATTTTTGTTTAGGTTTTTAAAGAATTTCTTGAACAAATTTTGAAAAAAGTATTTATTCCAGAGCTTAATTTATTCAAGGTTTTTTAATTTTTATTTAAATTTTCTGATGTCCGCAAGTTTTATCCGCAAATTCTTTTTATTTTTAAAAATTAAAATTTTCAAAAAAAATTTTTATGCCCCCTCTTAACTTTAATCCATGAATAAATATAATGGCTCTGTTCTAGTTTAAGTGTCCCCAATGAAAGTTTAAGAGTCTTATACATATAGGTCAGTGATTTTTAGGAGTTAGCCAACTTAACGGATTAGACTTATTGAAGCCCCTTTAAAAATAAAAATGACAAGCAGTCTTTTTCACATGAATTGTCCGCAAATGAAATTAATTTGCCTGTAAAAATTCTTTAAATTTTTAAATTTCCGCAAGTTTTGTCCGCAAAAATTTTTTTTATTTTTCAAATGTCCGCAAGTTTTGTCCGCAAAAAAATTTTTTTTTAATTTTAAAAATTATTTTATTTTTCAGTATACTCATGATAAAATGTTATATCCTTCTCCAACCTCAAATATCCAAGAAAATCATTTGGAGCTATTTAAATTTGTTGGTTGTTTGCTAGGAAAGGCTATTTATGAAGGAATTTGTGTAGATGTTCAATTAGCTCCAGTTCTTTTAGCTTCAGTTTTAAATAAAAAATTATATCCATTTGATGAACTTGCAAGTTTGGACCCTTTACTTTACAAAAATTTGACTTATGTAAAACATTATAATGAAAGTGAAGATGTTGAGGATTTGGCGTTGACTTTTTCTTTTCAGGAGAAATTTCTGGGAAAGGTTTTCTTTTTTATTAAAAGATTTTTTCTAGGAGTTTTTGGGTTAGAAAATTTTTTAAATTTTTAAATGTCCGCAAGTTTTGTCCGCAAAAAATTTTTTTAATTTTTTGACAAGTATTTTTTTAAGTAATGATTTTTTCTAGGTTTTTGGGTTAGAAAAAAGTATTTTTGATTTGAAATTTTTTTTCTGATTTTTTAAGGATTCTTGTCAATTTTAAAGAAATTTTTATTTAAATTTTGTTTTTGCGGACGTCGATTTCAAGAAAATTAATGATTTATTTTTTATTAAAAAATCATAAATTTTAAACATAAAAGAAAATATTTGAGTAAATATTTGATTGATTTAAATTGAAAACAACAAAAAAAGGAAAAAGGGAAATAAAATTTGCAAAAATACACAATTATTTTCACAAGCATTTCTAACTAATTTTGTTTTTTTAGAAATTTTTTTCATTTTACAGATTTATACCCACGAGTTACTTCCTGGTGGACGTGAATTAAAAGTAAATAACGAAAATAGGTAAAAAAATTTCTTTAAAAATAAAAAAAAAAATTTTTAAATTTTCAGAATTTCCTATCTTCATCTTTATTCCCATTATCGAGTTATTAAGCAAGTTAAAAACCAAACAATTTATTTTGTTAACGGTTTTCGTTCTATTATTAAAGAAAAATGGTTGACTTTATTCAATACACATGAACTTCAATTTTTAATTTCTGGTCAATTAAGGTTTTTTTTTTAAAATTTTTTATTCTAGTAAAAGTCCGCAAAAGTTGTCCGCAAATTTTTTTAATTTTTAAAATTAAAAAAAAATTTTTAAAGTGATATTGATTTGGATGACCTCAAAAAACATGTTCAATATTATGGAGGATTTCATAGCAATCACAGACTTATTAGATGGTTTTGGTCTATTGTACAAAATGATTTTAGTTGCGAGGAAAGACATTTATTTTTAAAGGTTTTTTTAAATTTACTATAAATTAATTAAAAATATGAGTAAAAAAATTTTTTTATCTCTTTTTTTCTTTAACCTTTTCCTTTTAATACTTTCGTTACTTTTTACTTACTCTCCTAAAACGAGCTTTTTCGAATTTTTTTTTTGAATTTTTCTTTCAGTTTTGAACAAAACCGGGGATTTTCCTGTTCTGTTCCTCCGGTTAATCCCTTATATCCAAATAATTTTTAAAAATGACAAAAAACTGAAAGGAAAAATCCGCAAAGAGTGTCCGCAAAAATACCAATTTCCTTAAAAAAATTTTTTGTCCGTTCTCTTCTTTTAACCCCTATGACGTCTTTCGCATCATTTTCTATTAAAAAATTAATTTTTATTTAAAGTTTGTCACAAGTTGTTCTCGTCCACCACTTCTCGGATTTGCTTATTTAGAACCTCCCTTCTCCATTCGTTGTGTTGAAACTTCTGATGATTTAGACCATGGGGATACTTTGGGATCTGTAATTAGAGGATTTTTAGCAATAAATAAAAGGAAGCAACCGACAAATGAACGTCTCCCAACTGCCTCAACTTGTTTTAATTTGTTGAAGGTTTTTTTTATTATTTTTGGGGTCTATCCGGTTATCACGCTCCCTCTCTATTTTTTACTTTTCCTCTCTGTTTTTTTTTATTTTTCTGAAAAAAAATTAAAAATAGTCAAGGACTCATAATGGTCAATAAAAAATTTTTTTCAATTTTTTATGGTCGTTTGCGTTAGGAACGCCTGAGTAAACGCCAAATTTTTGGCGCACACCCAATTTTAGCCCCCTCTGAAATCGACCCCCTACCACGCCCTTACTGACCATTATGAGTCCTTAACAATTTCTAATATGTAGGAGAAAGACAGGAAAAGCGTAAAAATGTAGGAGGGAGATGACTGGGTGCTACCAGATTTTTTTGAAAAAAAATTATATTTTTTAGCTTCCAAATTATACTCGAAAACAAATTTTACTGGAAAAACTTAGATATGCTATCCATGCAGAAACTGGATTTGAATTAAGTTGAATAATATAAATAATATTTTTAAATTTAATTTATTGTAAAAAATGTAAAAATAAATTTGTGGTTACTTAAGTTTGTGGACCCCCTTTTTTGAAAAAAATTTTTCCTAATTTTCTGATCTTTTTAAAATTTATAATTTTTTGGGAGTTATTTAAGGTTAAGGAAGATAAAAAAATTATAATAGGTTCACAAACTTAAATATTTTCTACTTAAATTGCCAAAAAAATTTTTTTTTGAAAAACACCCCTGGTGATAAATTTAATTTAAAAAAATTTTCTTTAATTCTCCATTGACTATTTTTTATAGTAAAAATATTTTTGTTAATATTGAGCTTTTAATTTTGTTTTAAAAAAATAAAGAATAAATGGTTCCGACTGGTTGGCCTAGTGCAGAATGGTCGTTGGGATTTGGATGTAAAAATTAATTTTTAAATTTAAAATTTTTTTTCTAATTTTTAGCTTGGTTCAACAACTTTTTCTGTAGCGGCGCAGAAAATTATAAACCTAAAGATCTTGCTACAATCAAGTTTGAAAATTTTTAAAAAATTTATTTTAATAATTTTTTTAATTTTAGATGTCCGTACACTGAATATTTCATTTTTTCTTTCATCAAGAGTATGCAAATCTCTTCTTTTTTGGGTAAAGAAAATTTTTTCAAAATATTTCTAGGGTTCTATTTGATCAAAAACATTTAAAAATTGTTTTTATATCAATTTAAAAATCACATCCCTCAGTGGGACTCGAACCCCCGACCCCTAAAATGGAAAACTCATGACTAACCCACTACACCACAAAATAAATTTTTTATTTTCAGCATTCTTTATCCGCCCTGGTTATTCTCATTATTTGTACAGCAAAATAAAACCGAAAGATCGCACAAACAATACAGATAAAATAGTTACAGCAGCTCTTAGGCGTATGCAGGTTTTTTTCTTCAGATTTTTCTTTTAAAAAAATTTCAGGGACGGGTTTTAATTGGTGGAATGTTTGCATCACCTCTTTTATTTGCCACTTCAATTTATTTTAATAATTATACGAGAGAGAAACTTGTAGACAGGTTTTTAAATTTTTCTAGAATAAGAATATTCACATCCTCTAAAAAATAATCTACGGGGAAACCATGCGGACGAAAACAGATTTGCGGATATTTTATAAATTTGCGGACATATTTTAAAAAGTTGCGAAAAAACCTCAAAATTTTTTTAAATTCTGATAGAAATAACTTTATTAAATTAAAAAATCCCCTCATATCAGTGAGACCCGAAGGTATGATGTTATAATGCCAAAAGCTTGTAATGCCAAAGCTTGTAATGCCAAAAGCTTGTAATGCCAAAGCTTGTAATACAAAAAGCTTGTAATGCCAAACCCCCAAAAGCTGTTGAAATGCCAAACCGTGGAAAAAAGCTTGTAATGCCAAACCCCCAAAAGATGTTGAAATGCCAAACCCCCAAAAGATGTTGAAATGCCAAACCGTGGAAAAAAGCTTGTAATGCCAAATTAATACCAAAACATTATTTATCATTCAATTTTTTACTAAGACTGTAGAATTTTTTATTATTTATCTCCCGGCAGAATAACCTGTTGCTCTTAGCCGTTTCAGTGCCTGGCGACTTTTCTTTTTTTTTCTTTCTCGCTCTATTTTTTTGTACAATTTTGATAAATATATTCATATTTTTGATTTCCACCGAAATTAAATTTATCTTTTTTAAATAAATTACTTTTTTAAATTTATTTTGATTATTATTCCATTTATTTTAATTATTATTCAAATGGCGGCGAGAATTCAATCTAAATTATATCAATTGCTGAAAAGACGAAAAATTGATGAAAGAGAAAAAGAAGTGAATATTGAGGAAGTAGATATTGTGCCAACAGGGCAAAGAGAAGATGCTGAAGAGGAATCGGACGAGGAAGAACAAGAAAATATTGTTGAGTTAGCTGTAGGCTCAACACAAAAAGGAGGATTATCTTTGTGGTATAATTGTGAGTGTATTTACTTAACTTTTTAATTTTTAATAAATTTTAGCATATCGCTATGTAATGACGTCAAAAAATTGCAAAAACTGGCGCTGCCCTGATCGAAGATGTACAGCAAAAGTGAAAGTGCTTTCAATTGAAGGCGAGCGTGCTCGAGGTATTCTAATAGGCGAGCATGATCATATGGGGGATGCTATCGGATTTGAGGTTTATGTTTATGCAGCTATATTTATACATTTTCCCTAACCTTTTTAAGGTCGAAAAACGACGAAAGGTTTTCACCGAACGAATACAAGAAAATCCAACAATTAAAACTAAAAAATTAACTGATGAGTTACGCAAAGGAACAGCCGAAGATACGGAATTGTTAGTTAGGTAAGGCACAAGTAATATTGTTTAAATACTGTTTTCGTTAGATTTGGCACAGATAATGCGATTCAACAACGAGCGGGAAGAGTGCGCAAAAAAGCGATTGGATTTGTCACAGGAAGACCATTGGAAATGAACATTGCTCGGGATTTAATTGAAAAAGACGGTGTCAGCATTCTTTTGTTTGATAGCAGAAAAACCCGTGTAAATGACAATGAAGTAACACTGTTATTCGCTCATCCTCGGGTGCTGCTTTATTATAACTAACAATAGGAAATATCTAATTTTATAGGGGTTGGAAATTTTAAAGGAGGGAAAACTTTGGCAAGCGGATGCTACCTTCAAAGCTTGCCCAAAACAATGGAAACAAATTCTTGTTATTGGTGCTCAAATTGACAACAAGCTCATTATTTGTGCGCACGCTCTTATGAGTAGAAGATTACAAGAGTCTTATTTAGAAGTTTTCGAGGAACTTAAAAAAGCAATTTCACCAAATGCACCATCTAATGTCTTAACAGATTTTGAGAAGGGGTTGAGGAATGGAATTAAAGCAGCATTTCCCCAGATAAAAACAAATGGCTGTCTCTTCCATTTTGCGCAATCTCTGTATAGAAAATGGCAAGAAATGGGACTTTTACAATTAGTGAATCATGGTGGAGAAGTTGGAAAAAAAGCGAGAGAGTCTTTTCGGTCAGCTTTATTTATTAATTAGTTTGTATTAATTATTTTAGTTGTCTACTTGCTTTACCCTTAATACCAATTCAACACGTGCGACATGCTTTTTGTTTACTAATTGATGAAGCTCCTCTTGGACTTGAAGCTTATTTTGCATACTTCTGTAGCACCTACATTGGAATGACAGAATTTGAAAATCAGCTGGGTTCTAATGCTTTTAGACCAGGAGTTGAAATGGAACGGATCTCCCATATTGGTTATGGTTTAGCAACTTCTCCATCTCTTTCTGAATGTGAATATCTTATTTATTTTAAATGACAATTTTATTATAGGTCGTTTTGGCTCCTTTGCTTCAACTTCTTTGTCTACAAATTTTGAACCAGCCAATATAACCTTCGGTCAACCTGATTCTGAACCAAGCACTCCTACAATGCCAAGCAGCAGCGGAAGTGGTAGGCGGTTATCCAATACAACAACTCCTCGTTGGGATTTACCAATTGATCATCCTGCACAATTTTCTATGGACTTTTGGAACGTTAATGCCCAAGCAATGAATGCAGTCTCTCGCACTAACAACGCTCTTGAGAGTCATCATCGACATTTCGCTGTATTTTCTAATTTTGCAAGCTTAAAATTTACCCCCCTTTCAGGATCGTCTTCGACATCACCCAGGATTGGCTGAATATATTCTTGCCTTTAAGGAAGATATCGACACTCAAGTGAACAATTATCATGTATTAATTGATGAAATATTTAAATCTTATATACATATTTTAGGCTCATAAAAATCTATTGAGTCGAAAAAGAAACACAAAATATATCATTAAAGAAGCTGCTATTCGTGTAATTCTCAATGGAGCAACATATGAAACAGATGAAGAAATATTGGAGATAGTTCATTTGCTGGGATCACAAATGGAACAGTTGGCAAGAAGACTGGGCTGCAACAGAAGAAATACAGAACGTGATGTCGAAGATTCTTTTGAGCCGACTGAGGAGAATGAAGAAAATTTATAAAATAACTGGTCATTTAAAGAAAATCTAAAATTATAGTACTTTATTATTTTGATTTATTTTCTATTCATTTTCATTTTAGCTGGTCAAATTGTTTATTATTTATTGATTGTTTATTAGATTATATTATAATTTGAATTTTATAAAAATTTTCCATGGTTTGGTATTTTAACATCTTTTGGGTGTTTGTCATTACAAGCTTTTTTCCACGGTTTGGCATTTCAACAGCTTTTGGGGGTTTGGCATTACAAGCGTTTTTCCACGGTTTGGCATTTCAACATCTTTTGGGGGTTTGGCATTACAAGCTTTTTTCCACGCTTTGGCATTTCAACAGCTTTTGGGGGTTTGGCATTACAAGCTTTTGGCAATATAAAACGCTCCGGACCCGAATCATTAGAAAACTTGTGGAGAGATTTTAAAATTTGCGGACAAATCTTGCATTTATTAATCCACACCAGCGTTGTATTAAAATCCATTTTCATATACCAACCCAAAAAATTATTCTCTTTGCCATAAACTAATCTTTTTTTAAATAAAAATTTTTTAAAGATGTTATGAAATTCGTCGTGATGAGGATATTTTGTCTTATGTTAGTTTTTTTAATTTTTTAATCTTTAAAATTTTTAATTTCAGGATAGAACAACTCTTGCATTTGGAGCTATTGGTTGGTATTGGAAAAGAATCCAAGGAGGTAAAAATTATTTTTTAAATTCGTTTTAGAAGCGAAGAAAACTTGCGGACCCGAAAATAAATTTGCGGACAATCTGCAAATATTTGCGGACTTTTCAAAGATCTTTTAAAATTTTATTTTCAGCTGTCGATGGTATCAACCTGGCCTTGCTATACGCAGTTTTTCATCATCACATCTCCAAAAAATATTTAAACCCAATTACCCCTGATGTTTTGACATTACTTGGAAAAGAAAAATATGAGACAGTGGAAGATGCAGAATTTGGTAGTCAAAAGTTATTTCAATTTATTAAGAAAAAATTGGAGGAAAGAGCTGGTAAAAATCAAGAATTAGAAAATAAGGAAGAGTAGAGGTTAATTGTTTTGTTATTGTTTTTTTTTGTAGCTTTTTGACGAATAAATTTAGCGAATTTAACGAAAATGAACAGGAAATAAAGGAGTTTTCAAGATGGTGTCGAAATTAAGGTTTTCTACTATTTTTGTTATACCCTCTCAAAAAAATTTATCTTTTATCTACTCTTATTTACTATATTTTTCTCTAACACTGTTTATCTTGAAACTAGTTTTGCAGACACTTTTTTAAATTTGCGGACAGTCCGCAAATTAATTCTGCGGATAGACCTGTTTTTAAATTCGGATGAATAGGGATCTCAAAAAAGTCTAAAATAAATACCTTTTAATCTCTTTTACATTTCTTTTTCACAATCAAAATTAATTTTACATTTAATAAATATTGTAGACGAGTTTGAATCAAATTCACAATTTGTAGTTTCATCAATTTCAATTAGAAAAGGAAGGAAAAAGTCGGCAATTACGCTAGATGAGTCTAACAAAGCCACAACCCGATCATCGTTCATTTTTAAGGTGATTCTGAAAAAATTAATTTATTGGTTGACTTTAATAACCACAAATTTGAAAAACCAGACTCTAATGGTCAGAAACTTTTTGTTAGGCTCAGCTTGAAAAAAATGTTTTAAGGACTTAAACGGTCAAGAACAGACTTGGTAATGGACATGGATTCTGGTATCCGTATCTGATATTTACGGCTGATGCAGGCGGATATCCGCAGCCATTTGAAGTTATCTGCATCCATATCCATTACCAAGTCTGGTCAAGAATTAAATTTCACAAGCCTAGATTGACCTAAAGCTTAACACTTGAAATTTTGGTACTCAAATGTCCAAAATTTTTAGAAATTTCCCAAAAAAAATTTTTTCAAACCTTTCCTTTTCACGAACAAGTTGTCTATCATTATCCTTCACTTTAATTTTAATGTCCATAAATTCTCCATTTAAAATTTGTACTTTAAAATTTCTCGGTTTTTTGGGTCTAGTCTCTTCAATATCGTCAATATCAATTAATTCATTATTTGTTAAATTTTCTTCTTTTATTAAAATTTTATTTTTTGTTTTTGAATTATTGTCGTCTAATATTGAATTTAAAGGGCGTTTTTGTATTTGTCTAATATTTAATTCTCCAATATATTTTTTATTTCGTAAAATTATTTGGTTGGACAAGTTTATATTTATTGAATAATTTTGCTTAAAAATTATTTAAAAATATTTTGAGATGAAATAGTACAAGAATGGATCGGGAATACTCCCCAGTTTTTTTGACCAGAAACCCGTTACGAAGAAAATTTTAAAAACCCGATCCCCGACCCGATTTTTCCCAACCTGACCCATTCTTGGTGTAATAAAAAAAATTTTGCGGACGTCTGCAACTTTTTGCGGACAGAAAGTTATTAAACTAGACAGAGAATTTTAAATTAATTCCTGTCCGCAATAAGTTGCGGATTATCCGCAAAAACGACTTTTGGAGTTTTTTTGTTCTAAATTCATAAACATTATTAAAGGAACTGTCCGAGAAAAAATGACACTTGTTCCGGCTCATTCCCCTTTGCCTTTATAAAAAACTAGTTCGACAAACCTTAATTTTTTCGCAAATTGCAGCAAGAGTTATTTGCCTAAAAAATTCAGAGTTGTCAATACACTTTTCAAAAAATTCAGAATTAACAATTACATCAACCTTAAAATTATAAAAAAAAATTGCGGACAGTCCGCAAAAAATTTTAAAAAACCTTTGTAGAAATATTTCCATTATGATCCTCCACATTTTCCACTTCCCCAACACACATGGGGATTTTAAAAGAATTTTTATTATTTTCCATCATTTTGGCAATTATTTCTTCATCTTTCCATAATTCTTTTCGAGGTGAAGGTATTTCTATGCAATGAGCCAAATTTATAAAAAATTTATTTGAGGAAGTTGGATTTCCCATATCTTCATTTGTAATGAGAGAACGTTTAAGATTGGGTTCAGAGTCCTAAAAATAAATTTAGCAAAAATTTTACGAAAAAATGTCTTTTGCGGACAATCCGCAAATATTTCCGCAAAAAACTCTTTCGTAAATTTTTTTGCGGACAACATTTGCGGATCCGCATTAAATTGTAAATATACCATATGACATTGTCCTTCTCTATGAAGATAATTACGGGAGTCTTATGCATATAGAAAAATTTGCGGACAACATTCCGCAAAATTGAAAAAACGTAAAAATAAACCAAATTGCCCAATTTAAATAAATTCGCAAACCTTTTTAAATTTAACACAAATTCCTGGCGTTGGATGTACCGTCCAAGTTTCATCATCTTCCTTGCGTCTTTGTTTATCAATTATTTCCACAAGTTTTTTGCCTGACATTTTTCTATAAACTGATAAAAATAGTAAAAATTTTTCAAAAATATTTTTTCCATTTCAAAATGGTAAAAAACAAAAATTTTGACATTTAGTCACTGATACCAAAAGCTCAGCCATTTTTATTATGAAAACAAAAAATTTTTTTTAACAATTTGAACAAAAAGGCAAATTTAAACATTAAAAAAAATAAAAATTTATTTTTAAAAGAAATTCTTTTTTTCATCTAAAATATAGCAAGAAGAGCAAAAACAGAATAAAGTAAAACACAAGGATAGGCAACTAACAATCTTTGACCTTAAAAATTAATTTATTTTAATTAAAAAATTTATTTAGGAAATAATTGCAGAATAAATTAATTTTTGCGGACAAAAAATTTTTTGCGGACAATATTTGTGGATTGTCCGCAAAAATAAAAAAAACGTCCAAAAATTATTTTTAGATAAAATTTCGTTAAAATTAAAATATACCATTCATTGATAGAGCAATTGAAAATAATTTAGAAGAGGATGATCCACTCCATAATACAGCTAATGTAACAAATATATAACCAATTAAACCCTTAAAGAATCAAATTTAAAAATTTTTTCCATAATCCTTATTAGATATAAGATACACCCTTAGAGTAGGGAAATCCAAGTAAGGGTGTGTTCAGTGGCCGAATTTAAAAGGGGATATAGTTTATTCGCCAAAATTTTGGCGTTCATATGTTGGAGTTGCGAACTCACTCTAGTACATAATTTTTATTTTTTAGGACCGCAGAGGGAATTTAAGGGAATTTTTCGATTTTGGATACGTTCTTGGTATCAAGTATTGAGTATCTTATAATTGAGAAAAAAACCTGTAAAGAAAGAACAGCAGCAATTAAAGACAACAAAGACATTGGCAGAAGACAATAACCCAAAACGCTTGCAGTATTTGTAAATGTTATAGACTTTCCTTCTTGTGCCATTAAATTTAAAAGGGCATACATTCCTGTACATCCAACTAATCCAATTCCGTAAATATGTCCAAAATGTAACTGAAATGATTTGAAAAGAGAAATGGAGGGAAAATAAAATTAAAAATTAATTTGGCAAATAATTGCGGACAATAATTGAGGACAAATTTAATTTTTGCGGATTGTCCGCAAAAAATTTGCGGACAATCCGCAAAAATTTAAAAGTGCAAATTTTTTATGGGATTTGCTTATATTTCCCCCCATTTCTCCATGCCAAAATTTTTATGAAACCTTTCCATGTAAAAGCAGAGAAGCGCCAAATAAAAGACAAAAAACGAGAGGACCGGCGAGATCCTGATCCTCAATAACCTTTAAAAAAATAATAAAATTTCCAAATAATTTCAAGTAAAACCTCTTCCTTCGCCGTCCCCAACGGATTCAACACAGCAAGTGTTTTCAGTCTAATATGTTCAAAATTAATTCCCAACTCTTCCAATAATGGGGGTTCATTTTCAAAATTATCCTCAATAAAAGATGCTTGTTCTGTTGGCATTGAAGGAACAAACATATTTGGAATTTGTTGGTTTTGATTTGGATAGGCTGGGTAAGGATAGACATTGGGTGGAGATGGAGTAGTTGAAGCTCTCCAGGACTCTGTGAAAAAAGAATATAAAATATAACAGATAAAATTGGCCAAAAAAATTTGAGGCTTTTGCGGACAAAATTTGCGGATAAAATTTTGTCCGCAAAAAACTTGCGGACAAAATTTGCGGATTAAATTTTTGTCCGCAAATTTTTGCAGACAGTATTTTACTTAAATGTATCAATTCAAAGAAAAACTTAAACTAATCTCTAGCCTATAATTTAAGAAAAAAACAAAAAAAAATTCAAACCATTTTGATTTTCCCACCCACCACCACCAACATTTACTGGTTGTCCAACATTTTGAGGAGATACTGGAGGTGGACTTGTATACCAATTACTATTTGTTGGTGAATTCTTTTCATTTTCATAAAAATAACCGTAAGGGTCTGTCATTATAAAATCTCGGAAAAAATTAATTAAAAATAAAAATTAAATTTATAAAGAAAAAATAAGTTAAGACTCTAAAGTGTGTTTATTCATAAATCGTTTTTCTCTATAACTTACTCCTTTTTCCTTCGATATTTCTTTTCTCTAACTCTTTTTCTTTAAATTTTCACAATATTTTTCTCTAATTTAACACGTCATTTTAATTAAAATTTTCAAATAATATTTTTCATAATATCTAATTTATAAATGGGTAACTCCTTCGAGTACAGTCCATTTAGGCGCGCGGCCATAACGGCGCAAAGCCATAACTTGCTTCAGGATTTCTGGATCTTACCAAATTTAGTATTTAACGATTCCTCTCCTCAAGCTAAAGAGATTGGTACCAAAATTGATAAGAGCCAGAAAATTTTCCAGCAAGTTATGGCTTTGCGCCGTTATGGCCGCGCGCCTAACTGGGTGTGTCCCATCTCCTTAGCATAAGCTTCAATTTTCTCCAATTTGTTTCCCTTTTTTCTTAATTTGCTTATTTTCAGCTTTAATTAAATTTAATTTTTTTTTACGTTGAGTGATGAGCTGTGACAATGATTCAAGTAATTCTTAAAGGGATTATTCAAAAAGAAATTTTTCTTTCCAGTTATCGAACATTTGGTTAATTCAGTCCTCGAGAGTGTTTTTGTAGGGGAAATCTTCCGAATTCATCGTGATTTGACAATAAATAAATTAATTGGATTTAAAGAATGGGGAGAAGAAGAAGATTGTGATTCTATTAATGAAGGTAAACAAACAACGAGAAAATCCTCAATTTCTGTTTCCCTTCGAAATCCTCGAAATATTGAATGTCGCTGTTTTGTTTGTAGCAGGTTTTTTCTTTTTAAACTTGTAATTATTGAAACAATTTAAGGATGATTGCGGCTGTAAGATTTGCTCCACATTTGGAAAAGTGTATTGGGATTGGGAGGAATACAAGGTTTTCTTTAAAAGTTGTCCGCAAAAATTTTTTAGTCCGCAAATCTTGTCCGCAAAATTTTTTCAGTCCGCAAGTTTTGTCCGCAAAATTTTTTCAGTCCGCAAGTTTTGTCCGCAAAAATTTTTAGTCCGCAATTTTTGTCCGCAAAAATTTTTAGTCCGCAAATTTCGTCCGGAGAAATTTTTTTGTCCGCAAATTTCGTCCGTAAAAATTTTTAGTCCGCAATTTTTGTCCGCAAAAATTTTTAGTCCGCAAATTTCGTCCGAAGAAATTTTTTAGTCCGCAAATTTTGTCCGCAAAATTTTTTTAGTTCGCAAATCTTGTCCGCAAAATTTTTGTCCGCAAATCCAAAAACCCAAAAATTAAACTTGATTTCTTAAAACTCGCTTCGGTTATTTTTAAAATATTCCTTAAAGGGTTAGACGTCGTGTCAACATTGCTCCCACCTATGAAGCTTCTACAAGCAGCAATGTTCCCTGCAGGACAACACGTTCTTCAACACTTCGTTCAGCCACAAAAACAACAAATAATCTTCATGAAAAGGTTATTAATACAAATTTTATTGAGGAAGAAAAAAGAGAAGAGGATGAAGATGTGGGGGAGGAAGAAGAAGAATATACTCTTCATTTAAGAGATAGACTTAGAAATAAAAATAGATGATTGTTGAGGTACTTTTTGAGGTTAATAAAATGATTTTTTTTTGAAAATTATTTTTGGTAATTGTCGGTTATCTCTACCTTAATTAAGAACAGAAAAGAAAACAGAAATTTTAAAAAAGTTAAAAACAGGAAAAATATTTTACAAATTACTTGGGAAAAATAGGTGTATTTCATTGAATAATTACTCTGGATAGACTCTCGATAGAGGGGAAATTAATCGAGGAAGGGGAAAATTGATAGAGGTTATAAAGTAGTGATGTTGGGGAGAAGAAAAAATCCGGCAAACGGGAGTCGGGTCGGGAGGCCAAAAACACGGGAAAATTTACCGACTCGGGAGTTGGCCGAACATCACTAGTTTATATAGTATTTATTCTTTAAAAATTATATTCATTTTTAATCCCTTCTTTCCAATATTTTTTCTAAAATGTTTGGACTTTTAAAGTAACTTGTATCCAGTGAGTAATGCTTAATTTGATGAGAAAGCATTAACTTGGCAGCATATGCATTTTCAATACTTCGATTAATTAAACGAGCACATTCAACCAATCTCTGAGCCCCTTCAATTAACCCTAATCTTCGTTGATTATATCGAAGTAAAATATTTGTGTATTTAGCTGATTCGTCATAAAGTAATTCTTTTCCTTCGGGAGACAGGCCCTCAGCATCTTTTTTTAGAAAAAAATTAAAGTTATTAAAATTAAAAAAATTGAAATGATAGAGGGACATGTCTAGCAGAGGTGGGTCAGACCTGGGTGAAACTCAAAATTTTTTTCGGGCGAAACGAAACGTTTCTCCCACGTCTGGTCTGAATCCCGATTTCCGACGTTTTTTTCCTTCCGATTTCCGAAAAAAAATTTTAATTTCCGATTTCCGACTTTTGAACCAGTTCCGATTTCCGGCTCTTCCAATTTCCGACACCTCTGACTGTTCCGACCACCCACCTCTGATGTCTAGGCGCTTTAGCCCTTAGGCGCGAGCGTATACCTTAGTCTAAGCTCCACCATAGCCATAAACCCCTATTTCAAATTAAAGTTTTTTTACCCGATTTTGTAAAAATAATAGCTATTAACAAAGCAAATTCAACGTGTGTTAATGCAGCACGTTTGAAGTGAACGACAGATTTTGTAAATGAATAATCTGCCCATTTAAGCATCCTAAAAATTAAAAAAAATATTTATATCTTTTCACTTAAAAATTTATTTACTTATCATCATGTAAATATTCACTATTATTCATAATGCCAAGAGCAGGCGTAACACAATCTTTACGTGTCCAAGTTTCAGAGCCTAATTCCCAGGCTAAGTAGGCGCTTGAAAATGAAACAAACATATGACAAATCTGCCTTAGATGTGCAATCTATTTTATTAAAGAAAAAAAAACTTTTTGGTACAAACCATCAAAAAATATACTTAAATAAAGAGTTTGGCTGTACTTTAGCCGGTGGCCCACTCAGAAACGGGACAAATTATATACCATTCGATTCGTCTCGACGAGCTGAGTTGAATGGTACCATTCTTTTTTTGCGGAAATGCTTACGAGCCGAGATATAGGTCCTTGAAAACCGAAAAACCATAGGGGGGAGTAAGCAAAATTTTGGGGTGAAAAATTCAAATATGCAAATGATAGTTCATTCGAAAGAGCTCCTCAAGCTGAGTCGAATGACACCAAAATCAGCAAATCCGACTTGATTTTACAAAGTTATGAGCATTAGTTTTAGCTCCTTACCTTTGGTCTACGGGCAGGTTTTTGTTGCTGGGGAGCAAGCCAGGCATGCCGACCGCAGCTAAAATAGGCATAGGTTTATGTTACGAGCCCAGACCCAGCACCCGTAGACTCCCCGCGAGGCGCACAAGCGCCTCGCCGTCGCCCCATAGGTTTATGTTGATTGTTTTTTGTGTTGTAACTTTGTCTAAACTTGTTCAATCACGGTGATTTTGGTGTCATTCGACTCAGCTCGTCGAGCTCTTTCGAATGAGCTATCATTTAAAAAATCGAATTTTTCACGCCAAAATTGTGCTTACTCCCCCCTATGGTTTTTCGGTTTTCAAGGACCTATATCTCGGCTCGTAGGCATTTCCGCAAAAAAAGAATGGTACCATTCGACTCAGCTCGCCGAGACGAATCGAATGCTATATAATTTGTCCCGTTTCTGAGTGGGCCACCGGCTAAAGTATATCCAAGAGTTTATCAAAAATTTAACTCCCGGGCAAGATTAGAACCTGCGACCTCCTCGTACTCTACCACTGAGCTACCGGGGCATCGACTAGTGCTTTCTCTTTTATCCTTCTAGATCGTTAACCCTCAACTAAGTGTTTTAAATGCTCAAGGTGAATCATCCTTACACTTATAGTTAAGAGCTCTCCGAATCAAATTAATAAAAAAAACAAGGAGGGATACTTTTCATTTTCTGTTTTTAACCAAGCTGAAGACAGAGAGTCTGAATTCCGATTTCCGACAATTTTTTCCTTCCGATTTCCGAAAAAAATTTCAATTTCCGATTTCCGACTTTTAAGCCAGTTCCGAATTCCGACACCTCTGACTGTTCCGACTCACCACCTCTGGCTGAGAGAGGAATGTTAACCACAGATAGAAAATACATAAATTGCTCTTATTACCTGATCAGATAAAGTCAATTTTTCAAAAACAGGCATAGATTTAGCAACACCAAAACACAAAAGTCTGTCAACTAAAAAATATTTGTGCCAGCGTTTATTAAGCATTCCTTTATTTCTAAATGAAGATTTCCAACTATCTAATTCTTCAAAAGGTATTGGACCTGGATTTGGCTTTAAATAGGATTGGGTTTTTATTAAAAATTGGATTAAAATTTACCGAAAAAGTGCCAGTTAAACGAAAAATATTAAAATCAGATAAAATTATTTCTTCAAACAAAACTGGGCCTTTAAGGAATATATCATCCAAATCATTAAATGCATGCATAATACGTTTTTTAGCTTCAATAATTGGTAGAATTGAATTTATCTGTTGTCGATCTTTGACGGTTATGTCGGAAATTGGAGGATTTGAAAGCTTAAGAACAAAATGCGTGAAGGAATGTTGTGTATGCTGCCTAATCAAACAATTGCATATTCACAAGTATGCATCAGGGGGTGCCGAAACGGATTTTAAAACGCGAAAGGCGAAATTAAATTTAAAAAAGCGACACGCGAAACGCGAAAGTCCTCTCGTAAGGGTTGTTTAATTAGAGAGCGTGCTTCTACTAGAAAATTCACAGCATTTAATAATGTATTTTGGAATAAATTGACTTACGTCAATTTCGTTCCCTTCTTTCATTTCATCTTGACATTGATCTTGACGTATATATCCAATAACTAAAATCACTTTTTCTTATTAAAAATTATTTTTAAATATTTTAACTAAAGCTTGAACCCTATCCGAATGGGATATTAAAGCCGGGACACCTGATATTAAGATAAAATCAGGGTTTTCTGTGTTTTCGAGGTTTTCGCCTGAAAAACCCCCGGCCCGTGATTGAAAGAGCCCGGCAATTTGAAAGGTTTAAAAGAGCTCAAACTTTAACAAACCCAATTTTTTCATTCCAACAGAAAGACATTTTTCAAGTCTACATTTTTTACATCTTGCCAATTTTTTTTCCGATTCTCCGTCTTTATTCTCCTCATTTGACAATTGTTTTGACAAACATTTACATTTATATTTGCATTCTTTTTCCTTTTCAAGATAACGCCTTTAAAGGATTTTTAATTACAAAAAAATCTCTAATAGAATGTCCGGCCATTCTATTCTTCCTTTTCCTCCTCAAAGGGCCAGACTTGGATGGGGCCATTCTTTTAGAGATTGTACAGTACCCAATTTCTTCTATTTTTCAGACCTCTCGCAGTGTTGCTTTACATTTTAATCACTTTAAATATTTTAGGATGATTCATTTGCATTGCAGGATTTAAATCATTTGCAGGACTTAAATGCTTAGGCTGAGGTTAAAGTATCTAATAGAGATCGAGCTAGGCCTAAACCAAGGCCTGGGTTTTTCCTGTACCTAGAGTCCAGGCATTTTTGACCTTCATGGGGTTTTCCTGTACCCGTATCCAGGATCCGCCCAGGTCAATTAAATCAAACCCAGGAACAGGCCCAAGCTTTTCAAAAATCTCGATCACTAGTATCTAAGTAGTAGGATCTCTAATGGTATCTCTTCCATCTTTTGCTTTTAAAAATACGAAAGGGCCCATTTCTGGAGTTCTTTTAAGAAAAATAAAAAAAATGCCTGAAGAAAGCTCCACAAGCCCTACATGTACAAACTCCAAAATGATAATAAACATTTTCTTTTGCCCCACAAACTTTGCATGATTTAATATAGTTTCTTTGCATTTTTAAAATTAATTTATAAATTTTTCTAGAAAAATATATAAATTTATTATGTGACGACTTCTCGAATATATCAGCCTTTAAATTAAACGATTTTTTGTCCAAATAATTTTACCCGAACTTTAAGAAATTTAGAGAATATTTTTATAACAGAAATTTTTTTAGAGTATTGGGAATTAAATAAAAAAATAATTGTAAATTTTCATTGGCATTGAAGAAAGTTATGGCAAAAACAAAAGGGGCAGAAAATTTGTCGCACCCCAGACTTAAAAAATACAGTGGTGGTCATATGTTCATGGACAACAACGATTTATTAACAACTTCCCTCGTAACAAAAATAACAATCAATCACTAATTAAAAACGGCGGTTCGAATACTCAGTTCATTTGCTATAAAATACCCCCAGTTTCATTAAAATCCATCGTCATTAATCAAAAAATATCATTTAGTAAAAAAGTTTCCACACAGAAAAATAAATTTTATTTTATAATAAAGGGATAATAAATAAATTATTGCCATTTTCAAAAAATCATATCTCTGGACCGGAAGAAGATATTTCTAAGCGGTTTTGTGGAAATACTCAAAAAAATATGCTTTATCAAATGGGTTTGTTAAATTTTTTCAGAAAAATTTTTCAGAGATTATGGGATTTGGTATATCCGGCTTAATCCGGATATCTCGGCCAATTTTCAATTTCATGAAAAATGCAGAAACATGTCAACTGAGATACAAATAGAGCTTTCGATTGCTATATAGAACGTATTTTTTGAATAAAAAATTAAGAATTTAAATAAAATTTTCTAGTGTAAAGGGATAGATAAAATAATTTTTTTATATTTCATTAAATATAAAAAAATTGTTGGCAAAATTGTAGTTTAAAATTGTATGTGAATTCTCGGTACAGCAAAATTCGATTTTTCTTTTTAGTTTTTAAAAATTATTAGCTAAATAAACAAATTTTCTAAACAAAAATTAAAAAGAGAGAAGAGACGGAAATTTCGTACTGAGCCTTATTTCAATTGTCCGCAGATTCTACGTTCTGTGTTTTGTGCACAGAACTTTTTAATTTTGTTATGAGGGATTTTATTGATAAATTGATGTTGTCCATAAACATATGACCACCACTGTACTGAAGACCGAATCGTCCGATCTCTAAAAGGGATAATCTGCGATCCATTGAAATAGGGCTCTGAGCGGTATTCCGTACCGTATTACCGACTGTAATACCGATAAATACCATCTAAAAGAGATACTAGAAAATTAAAAGATATTAAACTTGACTTGACTACCAGGGATGTGCGTCATGGCGTTTTGCGTTGGCGTGTTTTAAAATTTTGAAAAATTGGCGTTTGGCGCGCCACGCGAAAATTTTGGCGCACATCACTGATGATTTAAAAAAAAAATATTGAATTTAATCAATTTTCTCTTACATATCTTTCTGGAAGTGATCTTATTTAAATTAAAAAAAGAAGAAAAGTTTAAATTTATTCAAAACAGCTAATTAAACAAAAAAAAATTAATTTTAATTATATTTAGTTTATAAATTGTTTGAAATACCAAAATTTCGTAATCGTACCTGTGTACCAGGGCTGGGTCGAAACAGATTTTAAGAGGCAAAAGCGAAAGTCCAAAAAAGGCGAAAATAAGGCGAAAGACGAAACGGCACATCCCTGTTGTGTACGAAGTACGAGTTCGACCAAAAAATTAGACAATTACGAGGACAAATAGGCTCGTCTACTTTGTCAATAAATTTTTGAGGAAAAAGTAAAAGAATTAATTTGAATCTTTTTCCAAGGTTAGGTGGTTAGCAGGGCGGGTAGGGTTGGGGTTTTCGAACCAGGCCGACGTTCGAGTCATTCTTTTCGGGCATCATTTTTATCGGGCCAGACCGGTCGAGTCTTTTTCGGGCCAAAATTCGAGGCCCGGTTCTATCTTTCGAACCGACCCGGGCCCCCAAGCCTAAGGGCTTGTTTCGCATTTCGCCTTTTATTTTTAGATTTCGTCCAGCCCTGAAAAATTGATTTTCTTGGTATTGCTAAAATTATTTTTCGCTGGTAAATTTTGCGGACTAAATTTTGCGGACATTTTTAAAGACAAAAGACCCTAACAAATGTCTAATATTCTAGTTCATTCGATATATTGACTGGTTGATACTTCTTGGGATGATGTACACTTATCCTGCAAAAATGGTTGTCCGCAAGTATTGTCCGCAAAAATTTTCAATTTTTAAAACAATTTTTTCATCAAAATGTTTAAGGTCCTCTAATTAAATTAAATTATGAAGGCAATAATTCAACGAGTTTGTAAAGCTAGTGTTGTTGTTGAACAAGAAACGGTTTGGATTTTGTTTATTTTTCATTAAAAAAATTTTTTTAGATTTCTTCAATTGGCAGAGGCATTTGTGTTTTGATTGGAATAAGTAGAGAAGATGGAGATGAGGATATTGAATATATGGTTAGGAAAATACTAAATTTGAGAATTTTTGAAAATCCAGAAAATGGGAAGAGGTGGGACAAATCTGTGGTAGATTTGGGGTTGGAAGTGCTTTCTGTTAGTCAGGTTTGGGAATTTTTTATATTGGGGGTGAGGAGTATTTTAAGTAGTTTTAAATATGGTTGCCGTTTTCGATCGGGCCAAATTTCTCCGTGTCATTTTTTCAGACCTCATTTTTATAGAGTCGGGTTGTACGAGTCTTTCGGGCCAAATATCTTATGCCCGGCTCGGTTCATTTTGGCAACCTTATTGTTAGTTGTAAACACCATAGAGGGACCTAGTTTTTCGAGGCGCGTTTACGAGCTTTTTGCTTATTAAAGTTTTTGGAAGCGGTAAATGTCCAGTTGATAAAAAAATTAATAAAAAAATTTTGTAAAATTTTGATAAAAAACCCCATTCTGTCCTCCACGTCAAATACAAAAAAAAATTTTTTTATAATTAAAAAATTTTTCAGTTCACTTTACACGCACTAATTAAAGGGAATAAATTAGACTTTCACCGTTCAATGAATCCAGAAGATGCTCCACAATTTTATTTGAAATATTTGGAAAAATTAAAATCAAAATATGTTCCAGAAAAAATAAAGGTTAGCCAAAATTTTTATTTTTTAATTTCTAAAAATCCAAAGGACGGGAAACCACATTTTAACCCCTTTTTAGCCTATTCGCGATTTTAACCCATTTTTACCCGATTCGAGATTTTAACCCTTTTTTAGCCTATTCCATATTTTAACGATTCGATATTTTGTCCGGACACGTGGAAATGTCGTCAATAAATAATCAATCAACATCCACAAAAAGAAATGCAAATAAGCCATTAAATTTATCTGGCACATCAGTTAACGACAAACGCTCACGACTAATTGAGCAAATCAATAATTTAAATTTTCAAGAAATTTTACAACAAATGAATAACGACACCACAACACCTCCGTGGGTAAAAATTCTAATGACCCAAATGCAGCAGATATTAACATTGACTTCTGAATTGATAGTGGAACAACAACAACAAACTGGGAATCAACAATCTAACCAACTTCAATATGGTGAATTTAGGCAAGAAATGGAAGAGAAGGAAAGACGCCACTGTCTCGTGCTTAATGGATTACCAGAAAGTGAACAAGCCGAATCAATGGAGAAGGCTAAGGATGATCAACAACGAGTTTTACAGGTTTTAAATGAATGTAAGGTTTCAAGTGCTTTGCCAAGTGGGATTTTTCGTATGGGGAAAATTAATCAAAATAAACCTCGCCCAATTAAAATTAAATTTCCTTGTTCATATGCTGTTCGGGAGGCACTCTCAGGCAAAAAATTTCTAAAAAATCAATACAAACATTTACATTTGCGAGAGTCCCTTTCCAAAACAGAACTTGCCAATCGATCCATTCTTATTAAAGAGTGTCATGAAAAACGTAAGGCGCATCCCGGTGCCGACTTCATTATATATGCAGGTATGGTAATTTTGCGGGAGGAGATCCCAATTTTTCGCACAACCATAAATACAAATCCACACTCAAAAAACTTAATCTCCTCCCACTAACTTGTCAGCCAATTTATAAAACAGCCCAAAAAACTCCGAATTGCGTACAAATAATCAATAAGAACTGTAAAAATAAAAAGAAAAATTTTAAAAAATCCAAAAATATAAAATGCATTTGCTTTAACGCTCGTAGTTTATTAAATAAAATGAATGAATTTCGGTCATTGCTAAGCACCCATATATACCAAATCATAGTCGTTAGCGAATCCTGGCTTCATAAAGAAATTTGTGATAGTTTTATTCTACATACATTAGATTATGAGATTTTAAGATCAGACAGACCATCCAAAAAAGGTGGCGGCGTTTGCGTTCTAATTCATAAGGCATTACCGTTCAAACAATCCAAAATTTTAAAAACAAATAGTTTCAACCTAATATCATTCGACTTGTTATTACCGCAACTCCAAACAATAAGAGTTATTGCTGTTTACAGGCCCCCTGGGTTTCAAAAATCACAAGATTTTTCTAATTTCTTGGAAAATATATTGTACTGCTGCACCACTGAAAATGCGTGTATAATGTTGGGAGATTTTAATTTTCCTGGAATAGAATGGGAACAATTCTTACCTGTTTCACACACCACTCAGATTGAAAACGAATTTTGTGAGTTTACTAATAGCCAACAGTTAATACAACTTGTCTCTCAAGGTACTAGGGGAAAAAATATATTAGATCTTGTTTTTACTAACACACACAACTTAATACACAAGTTAGAAATAGCACCCCCTTTCTCAACATCGGATCATACCAGTATAATTTTTGAACTAGAACAAATAATAACTTATGAACCAACAAAATATATCAAGGATTTTAAAAAAGCGGACTATAAAACAATTAACCAATACCTAGCTTCAATTGATTGGATAACCATATTTGGGCACTCCAATGATATAAACATCAACTATAAAAATTTTTCTGACATAATTAACGAAACTATAAACTTTTTTATACCTTGTCTAACTATAGAAAATAAACTAAAAGGATTACCGACTCATATTAAAAAATTATTAGACACTCAAGAGGGTTTATGGAAACGAAACATTCATAAAACGAATAGGCCAAACTATTTGAAGGTAACTCATCTAATAAGGAAACAGATGCTGAAATTTCGGAAAAATAAAGAAAAAAGAATAATACCCCACCCAAAAAAGAAATTCGCATATGTTGGCGCTTTTCTTAAATCAAAAAATTTGAAATACTCAACAATGGTAGACGATCACAATAACATAATATTCACAAATAAACAGAAAGTTAACATACTTGCATCTCATTTTAGTTCAGTCTTTAAAAACAGTGGGACTAACACACAAATTACAAACAAAACTTCCCCACTATTGAATACAATAGATTACATGGATTTTTCAGTTTACGATATATTTAATTATTTAACAAAATTAGATAATAAGAATAACACATCACCTGATAATATACCTAATATCTTTCTTAAAAACTGTGCACAAACATTGGCATATCCACTCTTTAGTTTATTCTCTCTATCATTAATGACAAAAAAGGTATCTGATCTCTGGAAAGAAAGTATAATCGTTCCAATTCAAAAGATTCCAAAAGCTAAAAAATCTAACGACTTTAGACCAATCTCTCTCCTCTGCTCAACTGCCAAAATTTTAGAAAAAATATTAGCCTCTAAATTAGTTGAACATGCCCGGAAAAACAGAATTTTTCCACAAGAGCAACATGGATACCATATGGGTAGATCCGTAACAACCCAACTTCTAGAAGTTATGGATGATCTTACAATGGCATTAGAAAATAAAAAATCCGTAGATATAATCTACTTCGATCTGTCAAAAGCATTTGACACCATATCCCACGAAAGATTATTAAGTAAATTAAAATTATTAAATATTCCAGATACTCTAACTAAATGGCTCAAACATTATTTAAGCAATAGAACTTTCTCTGTAAAAATCCATGAATCCTTTTCTGAAAAAATGCTCATAAAAAGCGGAGTACCACAAGGCTCCCTACTTGGTCCCATATTGTTTTTATATTATATACATGATTTAACTGAATTCTGTTATACAGAAAATGTAACTGTTAAACTATATGTAGATGATATTAAGGCGTATTACATTTTCAAAGACAATCCAGTCAATTCAAACCCTTTGCAAGAATTTATTGAAAAATTTTCCGAATACACAGAAATAAACGGATTGGATATAGCTATAAAGAAATGTAATATATTACATCTAGGCACTAAAAATCCTCGCACCATTTATACAATAGAAGATACACACATAACAGAAATTGGTAGAAATCAAACTGTAAGGGATTTAGGTATTTTCTTTGACCATGAGTTAAAATTCCATAATCATATCGACATTATTTGTAATAAAGCTAGGAGAATTAGTTATACAATTCTTAGGTCCTTAAAATCTAATGATGAAAGATTCTTAATTAATATGTTCACCACATATGTAAGAAGTATATTGGAATTTAGTTCTCCTGTCTGGAATCCTTACTATAAAAAATACATTAACAAAATAGAAAAGATTCAAAAAGATTTCGTAAGGATGGTATATAACCGCAAGCATAATATAAGACTTAATGAACGAATCCCTAACTACTCTGAACTCCTCAGATTATATCATATAGATTCTTTAGAGAATAGAAGAATTATAACAGATCTTAAAATCTTTCACAAGCATTGCATAGGATTAAGCCCAATAAATATAAATAACCCCTATTTCATCATTCCATCTAAAACAAGGGGGGACGAAAACAAAATATCACATAAAGCATGCACCTCAATTACTAGACATAATTCATTTTTTGTAAGGACTATAAGGTATTATAATAAACTACCAGCATACTTTAGAAAATTAGATTACAAAAATTTCGCAAAAAACATAACACATATTAATTTTTCCCGCAATTCGGAGGCTGAATTAAGTTAAATTTAAATTTATACTTATAATTTTTTTTTATATACTATTTATTTACATTCTTTTTGTTTTTTAATTTATTGACATGATTTTGTTTTTATATATATTTTTTTACTTGATTTCGTTTTTTATTGTTTTTTGACTTGACTCGCGCCATCAAGGCGTAAATAAATAAATAAATAAATAAAAATGATGGTCCGGTAACGATTAGTTTAGATAGTAAGGAAAGGGAATAAATTTTAAAAAATTATTTTTTATATTTTTGTTCGTTGTTGGTATATTTGTCTAAGCGAGTCAGTAATTGTTTCTTCCATTTTGTTCTGAAATTAAATTTTTTTTAATTTCTATTTTATAATTTTTTTTTCATATTTATGTCATAGACTTATTCCTTTTCTCTTTTTTTATTTAATTCCTTCCATTGTCAATTTAAAAATATCCTCCAATTATTAATCTCGAAATTATGGTTAGTCTTCAGTGGGGGGGACGGCCTTAGGATTTTTGAGGATGCAGAATTTTCATCGAGATGTATAAAAAGGGAATTTGCTTCCTCGATTTTCGTGGGACATTCTAACTAGACTTTTCATTCCGTTACTTGAATCTGAACTTGACTTTGAACATATTATTTGATTTTGGATTTTGGTTAATACTAGAGACCTATTCCTTTCCAAGCCCATTCTCTTACTTCAACCTCTCCCTTTCTTCATAATTCTTCATTAGGGTTGGGGTTTTCGAGTACGGCCGACGTTCGAGTCATTTTTTCGGGCCGGCCCGACCGGGTCTTTTTCTAGCCAAAATTCAATGCCCTACTCGATCTTTCGGATCGGGCCCCCAACTCTATTCTTCATATATTCACTCCCTCTCTCTCATTTCCCTCTTTTAATCTCTCTTAATTTACCTTCTATTCTGAAACCAAGTTTTAATTTGTGTTTCACTAAGCATTAAATCAACAGCTAATTGAACTCTTTTTTGTACTGACAAGTATTTATCTTCCTTTTAATTTTGTTTTTAATAAGAAATAATAAAAAGTTAACCATAAAAGCTTGTTCCAAAGTATTTAATTGTTGTTCTGTATATGCCTGAATTTATTTTTAAATTGAAATTTAGACCCTATTGAACAATAAGTGAGAGGTCCTCCTTTTTCTGATTTACCGGCCCCCTCCCCAGCATCACGGTGGTGTTAATAATCAGCTCACTACTTTTTGGGTGTGTTACTGATAGCCATGGAATTGTGAGCTGTCATGGAGAGGGGGTTGTCATGGATGTCCCCTTATGTCATGGATTGTCATACCTCTCCCTCACTAGTTTTCATAGTGAGGGAGAGGTAAAGGCTAAAAGGGTCCTTAAAAGCTCGTTTCTTTCAAGAGAGAACGTTCGGATCCTGGGCGGTATCCTGCGACTTCCTGGAATTTATTTCTAGAAGCATTCATTCACCACGTATAGATGATCTTCCGACTGAGTTATCGGAGTGCTTTTTTTCATTTTCCCCTTTTTAATATAGGACATAAACCCCCGCCTAGTAATAATCTCTCTTCTCCCTTACATACCTGTCTTGGCTTCCTCTCAACATTTCTTCTTCTAGAACGGCTATATTCGTGTTTTCGTACTTAAAAATTTTTTTTCAAAAGTTTCCAAGAATTTTCCAAACAAACCAACCATTTAACCCAAAAAATATTTGCAATTCAGCCAATGTAGGGGTAACTATTTGAGTTGTTTGGTTTGGTAAAGAAGGTTGTTGGGGTTGTAGAGGGTCAAGAATAAACGAATTTTGAAGGGAGGAAAAACAATTTTCTTTATTTTTAGTCAAAATAGATTTAATACTGAATTTTGGGGGAATTTCAAAAGACATTTTTTTTAGTTAATTTTATTTTTTTTTGAAATTTTTATGGGAGAGGAAGGCCAAAGGGGGGATATTAAAAGTTTACCTTTAATTTCCCTCCAAAAAATTTCATTTTTCCTCCAAAAAATACCCCAAAAAATTCCATCAAAAATACCCCAAAATATGTGTAATTCCACACCATTTTATTTCTATTTTTCCAACTTTTTAGAGTTAATTTTTCCAAAAAAAAATTTTTCCAAAATTTTTCTCTTGACTAATTGACTTTATATATTTTATGGGAAAATAACTGAGGGATTAAGGGTAATATTATTATTTGTGTTTACTTAATATATATTTTTTGTTTTAGAAAAACAGGGGAAAGTGTGGTCATTTTTAAAATAACTGGAAATTAAATAATATTGGTTGGGTTAAATAAAAACAATAAGAGATATCAGAATATTTCTGTATTTTAATTTAAAAATCAGAATTTGGTAGACAGACCTTACTTAAGTACTTAAGTGTATGAGTTAAATAAAATCAGAATAAGTTGTAATTTAAAGCAGAATTTAGTTTATAAAAAATCAGAATATTTCTTATTTTTTTAAATTTGAAATCAGAATTTTTTTTACAAAAATCAGAATATTTTTTTTATTTTCTTTAAAAATCAGAATTATTTTTAAATTTTTCCCAAAAACTTTAATAACTTTTAAAACTCTTTTGTGAAGTAATTAAATATAAATGGTTGTCATGGTAACAAAAAAATAAACGGAGAATTGAATAGAATGACCAAAAAATGTACCGCCTTTCTCTATTAAACCTAAAAAAGTTGTGGCCATTTAATGTTTAAATATAAAAGATTAATGGAAGACTTCCCCGAACCAACAAAAAATCAAACAACCCCAACAACTTCAAGAAAACATCATCATCCTCATAATCCGCATTGTGAGGACCATTTGGGGGAATTCCATAGCCAATTTTGTGAACAAGATTTTCAGAGGCAATTGGATGCTGTTGGGTGAGTGTATTTCTTAATAGAAAAAATCAGAACAGAAAAATCAGTAAAAAATCAGAACAGAAAAAATCGGAATAGAAAAACAGAATAGAAATCAAAGCAAAAATCAGAAGCAGAAAAATCAGAACAAGAAGAAAATCAGAATAAATCAGAATTTTCTGATTTCTAAAATCAGAATAAAAAAATCAGAATAAAAAATCAGAAACAACAAACAGAAAAATCAGAACAAAAATTAAAAAATCAGAACAGAATAAAAACTTCCAATTCCATTTCCTTTTTTTACAGTCCAAGAGTGACCGGCCCAGGTGGAGTTATTTTACCTACCAATGATGAAATAAATAAATTATTGGATTATGGGTCTGATTCAATTTCTGCAATGTGTTTTACTTGGAATATTGCTGGGAAGGTTTTCTTAATTATTTAGTTTTTAATAATTTTTATTTGAGGCAAGTCGTTCCCTTTCTCGTTTAAATCACTTATTTGCCAAAATGCCTCCTTTGGAAAGGCCGTCGTTGATTGCCTTGGCTTTACAGGAATTGCCTGCTTCTACTTTGTTGCTTATTTAAAAAATTTTTAATTGGACCTCCGTTATAAGACCCCTCTATTTAGGAAAAATCGTCTCTTATAATGAGGTGTCTCTTAAATAGAGAGTATTGCTTGGACGGTAGCATCCAGTGGACAACCTTTTTAAAAATAAATAGTCTACACGGTGGGGTGATTAAGCATTGCCCTCTATTTAAGAGACACCTCATTATACCCCCAATACTAGATAACCTCATTGAAGGATACGTTCCCTAAAATTTGTTTGCCACTGGGTGGGAAACTTTCTTAAGCGATACCCCCAATTTAAGAGACACCTCATTATAAGGCAGTTTTCCAGCCCTTTGGGGTGTCTTATAATGAGATTCCAACATTATGTATATTTTTAAACTTTTCCTTTTTTAACAGAAGATTTCACTCTTCAGTGCTTTCATCACTTGGAAAGTCACTATCTTCCACCCACCGCGTTTTTTGCTGGGTTCGTAAATGGTCGCAAATGTTGGTGCTTTTTATTAAACATCCTCTCAGTTTATTCACTTCACGTATCTCTTCATTATAATTTTTCTTTTAAATTTTTCTAAACTTCATTAGAACCAGAATATCGTTTTGTAGCAGGCATTAATTTAGCAAGCCCTTTTCGTACTAAAGGTGCAATTTCTATTCGTTTCCGGTTATTTCAATGCCAATGTATTTTTGTAGCTTGTCATTTGGCACGTAAGTTGATTCTTTTTGGTTATGTTCCCAGAATTCGCAAATTCCAAAAAAAATTCAAAATCCGCAATTTTTTGCGGATTGTCCGCAAATTTTGTCTGCAAATTATTTTGCGGACTTTTTTTTTTAAAAATATTTTTTGCGGATTTTGAGTACACAACATACCACTAAATAAAAATAATTTTTATCAAAAATTTAGACGGCAAATTAGAACGCAGAATCCTCGATTATAGACGAATCGCTGCCCAATTTGATTTTAATTCCTTACAAAAACAAAGTGGTAATGATAATTTTTTTATTTTCGTTAAAATATCAAAAAATTAAGGCAAAAATCTAGTTCACCTTTTTTGGTTCGGAGACCTAAATTTTCGCGTTTTGCGAAAGGAAGAATTGTCTGACGTCGCAGAAAACATGCAAAAACGGCTTTTTCGTAGACAGGCAGATTTTCAACGGATTTTGGCTCATGATGAGCTTAGCTTGGAAAGGGCGAATGGTTTTTATTTTAAAATTAAAAATATTTTTTAATAAGGAAATTAATTTTTAGGTTTGTTCAAAGGCTTTCGCGAAGCAATTATAAAATTCCCTCCAACTCATAAATTTCGTATTGACAGCAATTTTTATATGCCAAGCAGGATGCCTTCGTACACGGTTTTTTTATTGAATTTACTGCCCCTTTTCACTCATTATTGTTAGCAAGGATGGGCCGGATAAGGAAAAAAGTCGGGTTTCGGGTAGGATTTTAAGAAATTTTTGGATCGAATTTCGAGAGAAGCAGGAAACAGAAGGAGCAAACAAATCCTAGTTTTGGGTCGCAGCCCATCTTTACTCCTCAACCCAGTCTTTTTATACTGGATAAAATAAAAAATTTATTTCCTTAACAGGTATAGGCTTGGTTGAAGAAAAAGTCAGGTCGGATTTCGAGTAACCCGAAAAAAACCAATTCATTCCTTGTCCCTCGACCCAATTCATTTCTAATGGGGAAAGAAAAAACTTGAAAGACGATTTTTTCCATCTCTTTTTCTTTCTAAAAATCAGAGCATGCCCCCAAAAATTTCTTTCTTTAAAGGACCGAGTACTTTTTTGGACCAACCCAGAGCCTGACGGTTTAACTGCAATACGTTATGATTGTGTATGGGAAGTACATTGTAGCGACCATAAACCTGTTTATTGTATATTTAAAATGAAGGTAATGAAGAATTCTTTTAAAGAAACAATTAAAATTAATGGAAGTGCTTGAAAAGTTTTTTTGTAAAAAAATTTTAAAAAATTTAGGGCTTTTCCATTATCCTTCTACAGACTTTTGCGGACTTTTTTTGCGGACACATTTAATTTCTAAAAAAGAAAATTTATGGAAAACACTGGTATAAGGAGGGAAAGGAAAATAAGTCTATCCGCAAAAAAAAGTCCGCAAAAATCCGTAGGGATAATGGAAAAAGTATCAAAAAAAATTTTTTTGTGAGAAAAGGTTTTTTTAATTTTATTTTTATACACAAAATCATTCTACATAAAATAATATCAATTTTTAATTTAGATATATAAATTGTTAATTAGGTAATATTTTTAAATTTAGGTAGGCAGGAAGGAAAATTTTCTGGGTTTTAAAATAATCGTTAAGTTTTTTTCTTTCTTCAAATTAGTTCAAAAAATATTTAAATAAACAAAGAAAAAACTGAATTTTAAGTGCAAATTTTAAGGCATTCCCGGCGATCCCGTGACCTGACTTTTTTCCGACATAAAAACAAGAGGGATCCCGCGGGATTAATCCCATAAATCCCGTTTACAGCTTAAACCCTTCAGGATTTTGGGATGGGATCCTGTAAATTAGCTCATGGGATTCCTCAAATGCCGCACAACAAACTTAAATTTCCACATAAAAATATTTTAAAAAATAATTTCCTTTAAAATTCAGTTTTTTTTAAAAAATATATAAATCAAGAAGTGTTTAGAGAAGCACTGAAAATGAGGAAATTTAAAAAAATAGAAAAATGCGTGGGGGTTGGAAAAAATTTTATTTTTCTTCTTTTTTAAACAAATTAAAAAGCTCAAAAATAGTTACAAATTAGATAGGTATATTTGGGGTTACACAAAAAAAATAATTTTATATTCCCTATATTTTCTTTTTTTGGCATCTTTTAGTTCCAAAAATTTTTTTAGTTATTTTAGTATTCATATAAATTGAAAATTAGAGACCGGACTGAGAAAATAAAAAAATCTCTCGAACAAAAATTTAGGTTATCGAGTTTGATATTTTTCAAGATAACGACGATTTTCATACAACCCCCTTCCCATTCCGGTCTCTAATAAAAATTATTAAATATGAGGAAGAGGAAAACAAAAATAAATTGGAAAATGACCGAGATTTGATTAAATGATATTCCTAAATGGTTAACAGTTTTTTTTTCGATTAAAAAGAGAAATTTTTAGAGATTGTGATGATCCTTTTATTCTTTTTAATTTAGATAAAATTTGCGAAAAAAAATTTTTTTTGACAAAAACACAATCTCTCTTGAAATGACTACACCATTAAACCTAAATTTGCGATCAGACTTTAATCGAATCCGAAGGGAGTCAAAAAAAAAAAGAGGAGCACACATCACTTGGGCCTACCTCTTGTGTAGAGGCGTGAGGTGGAGTCACCATATAAATATCAAAAATTGATTTTTATTTTGGAGGTTTTTGTGAAATTTAGCATTGAAACGGAGGTGTCGTACTTTAATCAAGAGAAATTTTTAATTAAGAACGAGGGGTCAGGAACAGGAATATGACATTTTTGGCCCATATCTAAAATTTAAGTAAGAACCAGTCCCCTCCCCTAGATTCTTAAATTAAAGTCTGATCACCATTATTCTACATTCTATTAAGTTATATAATTAAATGCCAAAAATATATATTTAAATAAAAACCTTATTCAGTCGAAGTAGAAGTTGTCGTCTTCAAAGTATCTGTTATCGAATTCTCCACCACAATATTTCCCCCATTTCTTTCCTCTTTAACCACCTCTACCTGATTTTGACGTAAAATAGATTCAGCAATTTGTCCCATTAAATCAACACATTTAACATCAACATGTTGAAGTTCTCGACGACTTTGTTGGACTTGTCTCCAAATATTGTGCCGTTCGCTCTTTTTCCAGCTGTAGTAGAAACTAACAATTTCGCCCAATGTTCTCCTTTGTAACTTGAAGAAAAATTTTTTTTTAATTTTCAAAAAAATTTTTAAAAAGAAACCTGGTCTCGTTGAATCTTCAAAAAGTGTTTTCCATGCTCAGCCATTCCTTTCTCAAAATTTTCGCAATCCTCTTCTGTCCATGTTCTCAAAGTACCTTGTGGTTGTGTTAAGCGAGGTCCGTTAACTGAACAGAGGGCAGGCCATTCAAAGGGAGCTTTTGCTTTAGCTTTTTTCACGTTATAATTTGCCTTTAAAATTAGGAAAATAACTATAAAAATATTTATCCCAAATAGAAGCAAGAAACATTGTTAAAATGAAAATTTTGCCTAATGGGGAATTTGCGGACAAAACTTGCGGACAAAAATAATTAAAAATTCAAAAAACCCTTCCAACTAAAATAGTCTAAAATAATTCCAAAAATATACCAAATAAAGCGCAAAAAGAGCATTTTCATCGTCTGGAACAATTTCCTCTTCTCCCATTAAAGTCGAAGCAGTTTCTGAAGAAGAGCGTTTTTTACAAGTTTGAGACATTCCATTTTTTGGTTTTTCTCCAGCACGTATTTGTTCACATTCAATTAAATATTCGGTTACTACAGATTCAGGACAACAATCTGGAGAGGAAATCCAGAGAACTTCACAAGTTTCAACAGGTTTGTTTTTATTATTTGAGATTTGTATAACTTGGGGAATATTTGAGACCTAAAAATTAAAAAAAAATATTTTAATGGAGCAATAGAGACAAAGGTAATTGGAAACATGATTTTGGTTGAATGAAGAAAATACCATGCCGGTAATTCTAGAAAAACACCAGCATCTCAGAAAGGCCTAGGTTTAGGTACAAGAGAAATTCCAAAACCTAAACCCAACTCGGTCTCTAGAAAATATTTTTGACAGAAACTCCGAGAGCAAATGAGGAAGAGGAAAAAAGATATTTAGAAACTTGAATTGGTTGGATTCTTGCCCCAAATTCCAGAAAAACTCAAGGTAGCCAAAAAATGCCCTGGTTTTGGAGGCGGATAAAATCCAAAAGCACAGCCAAACTCTGACTCTAGAAAAATATATACAACAGGAACACCGGAAAGAGTCCAAAAATATTTTTCTAGCTATTAATCGAACAAGCCCAAAATCTTGGGTGGGGAGTATTT